CAGCAGCACTGGTATTCGAAAGCAGGTCATTTAATCACATTTACTATTTCAAGGGTACACGTCGAGAAAAAGATACATGCTTTTTTAAATACTGCATCAGGTTATGAACAGTAATCAAAGAGTAGATAAATATTCACATGTCCTACATACAGGTATGTTTACACTTCTTCTGTTTTACTACAAGAAGAGCAACAGATGCAGGTGATCCTTCAAACCTGGCATATTTATTTTTCCTCTTACCTGTACTGCTTTTTATCAGTCTAGATTGTTTTGGTGTGAGCTGCTGAGTGTTTGATATATCAGCCGTAGAGATGTCTGCCTTTTCTCCAATATAATGGAACTAGATGGCACTTGGCTTGTGGTGCTCAAAGCGCCAAAAAAATACATTTGAAAACTCAGCAGCAATGTCTCTCTCCAGAAATCATGACCTGGTTACTCAAGATAATCCACAGACCTTGTTGTGAGCAGTTTTATGTAGGAACTATTTTCTTTCTACCGAACCGCCAACTGTATCACTGTGCAGAAAGAAGTGTTCATCTATTATCTATTCGAGCAAACAATTCAATACTCATGTAACCAGCACCAACAATGTCACTGCTTGGTAGTCTCACTCACCAGACCTTTCTCAAGAAAAGAAAGGTCTGGCTGGGCCGACTCTCACTTTAAGATTGGAGGAAAAAACGCCCCGGCTGCTTGTATTTCTTTCAACCAATTACAATCGTTCTGGGCGGTGCCACAGCAACGGTGTGCTTGCAAAAATATTGGGGAAACAGGTTTTGGTGCAACACGCCCACAAAAATATCGCCTACAGGACGCAAACCATGGCAGAAAAATGACTACATCCCCGCAAGATCAAACACCGCAAAAATTAGTAAAGGACGTGTTGAAAACGGTTGAAAACTGCTACACAACCGGAGGTGGTAGGGCGGGAATTCATCGGGTGGCTTGTTCCGCCCAATGAGAGGCTATGCAGCGAACTTCTGCCCACTCAGACTAGCTGTGCAGGAGGAAGTGTGCATCCGCTCAATTCATCCTCATACAATGGTTTGTATTGTAACGGACTGGGTGATATGATGTTATCTGTATGGATTCTGTCACTGTTAAGAATGTGTTATGTTCACCTGCAGTGAAAAGGTCTGTTTTGCCAGTTACTGAGTTTTCCGTAATGTCAGTGAATGTGTCACTCTCAGCGAGGTTTTGTGCTTTTAGACGCTGTGAAGCCTGTCAGTCAGTTCGTGCCTCGTAGCTTCATTGCTAAGGGACGTATAACATCCTCCAGAAAGGCACATACAACTCTTTGTATGATATCTAACGAATTAGTGCCCCACGAATGATGTTGCGTACTTAACGTAAAGTTACTTTGGCTTAGTTTTAGAAACATGGTTGGGTGTCTTTAGGTTTAGACGTATGTAGGTTACATTTAGGAGAAGAAATGTGGTTATGACGTACCTCAGAATGACTCAAAGTTCACTTCAGTCATTTTGAGGTTCTGAACACCGGTCTCCTAGAAGATTGCCCCGTGTTTTTTTGACCTATCCACCTCCTTAATCTGCCTCCTTAAGGGGATTACTCCCTTCTTTACTCCCATCAGTGCATTGGTCACCTGATCACAGCCTTGCAAAATACACACATTACTGGCTCATGATTACATGGGATAGATACGAATTTTAGTGTATTACTTTTTCAGAATCAGAATGTCTTTTATTGTCATTGTATCATTAAAAAACCCACAATGAAATTAGGAGTGCTACTCCTGAAAGGTGCCGACCAAAAAGGCACCAAACTGGAGAGCGAAGAGCTGCTGCACAAACACCTGCTGCCATCTTGGACATCACTTTCAGGACGCCATAAATGTTGACATCTCGCGCTGTCACAAGCACAAGCTTCTCGTCCATGAGTAGATGCACTCTTCCTTCTGTGCAGTGATACCGTTGGCCGGTTTAGTTTGGTAGAAAGACAATAGTTCCTACATGAAACTGCTCACAACAAGGTCTGTGGATTATCTTGAGTAACCGGGTTATGATACTAGAAAGAGACATTGTTGTTGAGTTTTTCAATTTGGTGCCACCAAACCAAGTTCCATTTCGTTCCACTTTACTGAAGAGAAGACAGGCATCTCTACGACCGATATCTCCAACACTCTGCAACTCACAATAAAACAATCTAGATTGATAAGTAGCACTACAGATAACAGGAAAAATATGTATTTGATTTGAGGGTGAACTGTCCCTTTAAACTTTAAACAACATGTGCTATTACTGATTTTGCACATGGTCCGAGTAAGAACACAAAAAACAGGTGGAAACATGACAAACAGCATTAAAAAAAATCATTGTGTCTTCAGTATTTTCAGAATATTATTCAAATACTTGTAAGGCACATGACTAATCAGCTTTGCTACTTGTTACAAATACCATAGACAAACCATTACCTTGTGTTTATTTACCCTGCTTCAGTTAATTGACTTTCATTTTCACCCCTGACTCATTCCTAGACAAAATGTTCTTGCTTTTAAACAGGAGCCATTGTGCATCCATTCTTTGCTGTGAAAGCACGCTGATAGGCAGCAGAAACTAAGCCAGTCTGGAAATGTTATGCTTGAAATTATACAGTATGCACAATAAATACATTCACCATCAACCCATTAGCTATATACATTCAGGCACAGGGAGAACATGCAAACTCCACACAGAAAGGATTCAAACCCAGAACCTTTCTCCTGCGAGGCGACCGTGCTAACCATCCTACACAAATACAAGAGACAGACGATGGGTTACATTTCCCATGCATGACAATGTTGTTGTATCATTCATATGATAATTTCATTGTTCATCCAAACATTGGCGTCAGAGAGGTCGACGTTGCTCCATCTCATCATTTTTTCCACTTCATTCAGTCTTCCTCAGTCCTCTGTTGAAATAGGATTTCAGTCACTGTAGATATTTCTGCAGTCTGGAGGACTTTCGGATACAGTAGAAGAGCGTGCGGCTATGAGGAATGCTTTTTTTTTAAGTCAGTCTCTTAAAAGAACAGTGTGTAAGATTTAGGGGGATTTAGTGGCATCCAGGAGTGAGAATTGCAGATAGCAACCGGATGAAACTCCTGGTTAGTATTCCTTCAGTGTTCATTGTTTCTGAGGTTTTTATGGGGAGCTGAATTATCCACAGAGGTCTCCTCCTCTTTCGAAAACAAACCGACCCGCTGATTAAAACCAGTACAAACACTGAATAAGGCATTGTGTTACAAATCACTGTTTTTCCTATGCTGTTTGGCATGTCGCAGACCAGTTGCTCTCACAGCATCTGCTAGTTTGTGCTTGCCTTTCATCTCTGATAAATTAAGATCCAGACATTCAAGAGGTTTTTATCAGGAGCAGAATCAACCGCAGAGGTCTCTTCCTCTCCAAAGCAAATGAACCAGGGGTCTCATTTATAAAACAGTGCATAAGATCCATACTAGAAATGTACATACAGACAAAAGCCAAAAATGGCGTGCGCCCAAAAATATTCGACAATTTCTACAATCAGGCGTCCACCTCACCACGTGCGTCGCCAATTTCCCGTCTCCAAAATGTTCATGAGTATGGGTCAAAGTTTCTCCCCTCAAGTCTGTTTTTATAGATCACAACTTATCCATGGGAAGTGGCCTACGCCTCTTTCAGGCATTTCATGTGTATGCAATATTTGAAATTAAGATCCCAGGTTATTTAAACAAGTAAAAACACTGAATGAAGCATTTTCACATTAAAAAAAACACTTTTCAGATGCTCTAGTTGCAGAGGGACTTCTAACTACAGTGGCTGATGTGAAAACGTCAATGACCCAATCTAGAGCTAGTTTGGTTATTCTTGGCTACTGTAGAAACATGGCTGTGCAACGTGGCAATCTCTGTAGACAAGGACCTGCTCCCTATGTAGATATAAATGGCTCACTCGTAGGTAACAAAAACATACAGACATCCATTTTCATCCGCTTATCCAGGGCTGGGCCCGTACCACCTCAACTGACCCCTTTTAATGCGAAGGAGCAGCGGCTCTACTCCTTCCAGATATCCGAGCCCTTCACCCTGAGGCTGAGCCCAGACACCCCACAGAGGAAACTCATTTCAGCCGCTTGTATCTGCAACCTCATTCTTTCGGTCACTATTCAGAGCTCATGACGATAGGTGAGGGTTGGGACGTAGACGGACCAGTAAATCGAAAGCTTTGCCTTCTGGCTCAGCTCCCTCTTCACCATGATGGTCCAGTGCAGCACCTGCATCACTGCAGATGCCGCACCAAACCGCCTATCCATCTCCCACTCCATTCTACCCTCACTTGTGGACAGGACCCAGATAACTGAACTCCCTTGCTTGAGGCAGTAACTCTCCCCCAGCCCGGTTTGCCAGCAGACTCGGAGGTGCTGACTCGCACCTAAATGGCTCATTCTAAGGTAACAAAAACACAATGATTCTCATTTCCATGTGATTATACGGAAACATAAGAAAACATACTTATTATAATCCATTTTTGCCAATATATCCCCCTAAATCTTAGACACTGGACCTTTAAGGCTTGCCACATAACCTTTCATTATGTGGTTCTGTCCATTCGGGGAAATGTCATTACATCTTCATGCAACATCCACCAACACTTTGAGGGTTATCCTTCCATTTGGGGAGCCTTTCTAATATGAAGGTCAATGGGCAACTTATATTTAGTCATGGATGATAAGTCAAAGGAAAAACCAAAGAAAAGTGTCTTATGGGGTGCTGGAACATCACAGGCCTCCAGAAGAGCTTCAGTACTCCTTAGCAGATTCTTCAAGTCTCTGAGCTCTATTGGAGTGATGACATTCACTCATTTTGTGTGTTGGTTATGGTGGTAGCTAGCTGAAACGAATTCTGGATACTTTGTAGGCCATATGATATGATCCACAACATTTCCAGGCTCTTGCATTTCTCCACTTTGGTTTGTCCTTTAACTTCTGTATATAATGTTCTCGGACGTCCTTTGGCCCCAACTAAGAACATTTCATGCTGTTTAGCGTTTTCTCGCTCAAGGTGCTGCGTTGGGTCATCTGTATGCTGGAGTGTAATGACCAGCTGTGAGAATAACAGGTAAAGTGACTGAACATTTCTCTGAACCTCGTGGACATGAGGTTGTAGAGGATGGGGTTGACAGCAGAGCTCAGGTAGAAAAAAACTCCGGAGACGATGTGGACGTGCTCAAAAACCTGGAGGTGCTCCTCGGACGTCTGGTCGATGTAGCTCCACATCAAGCGGTCCACGTGGAAGGGAGCCCAGCAAATGCCAAACATAACCACCAGCACACCTGGACAAACCAGACAGTTTAGGTGAACAGTAGTAAACTGGACAGGTAGATTGAAGACAGGCAAACAGAAACACATGTACACATATTGTATACACTTGTACAGCCCAGTCACCAGAATAAAATGTTTGCATTGTACATTTCTGAACAGATATCTTACATTTATACATTTCATACATATGAAGTAGTTCAGATTACATGAATATGAGCTGAGTTTCTCATCAGGAGGAGGATGGTGTGACACCTTAGGCAAGACAGCTGCCAAGCAGCTAGTCTGAGTGGGCGGAAGTTTGCTGCATAGATCAGCCTCTCATTGGGCGGAACGAGCCACCCGCTGAAGTCCCGCCCTACCACCTCCGGTTGAGTAGCAGTTTTCAACCGTTTTCAACACGTCCTTTACTAACTTTTACGGTGTTTGATCTTGCGGGGATGTCGCCATTTTTGTGCCATGGTTTGCGTCCTGTAGGCGATATTTTTGTGTGCGTGTTACACCAAAACCTGTTTCCCCCTGGCAATATTTTTGCAAGTGCACTGTTGCTGTGGCACCACCCAGAACGATTGTGATTGGTTGAAAGAAGTACAAGCAGCCGGGTGTTTTTTTCTCCAATCTTAAAGTGAGAGTCGGCCCAGCCAGACCTTTCTTTTCTTGAGAAAGGTCTGGTGAGCGAGACTACCAAGCAGCAGACCACTGTTCAAGACCAACAAATCTGGGGGGTTTAAACGAGAGTTCGGGAAATGTCCAACCATTTTTGTAGCGACAAAAGCAGGTGTTTTTTTAACAAGAGTTTAGGACATCTTTGGCCTTTTTTGTAATGACAAAAGCAGGTGTTTTATGATGATAGATGGGACACATCCTGCCATCTCTGTAGCAACAAAAGCGTGTATTTGTTATTTATTATAATTTTTTTTTTTTTTTTACAATAGTTCAGGACATGTCTTGCCATTTTTTTGACTACAAGAGGGTAATTTTTAACGAGAGCCCGGGACATGTCAAAATGTGTTTGTAGCAAAGAAGCAGGTGAGCTTTAATTAGAGTTTGGAAAATGTCAAGCGGTTTTTGTAGCAACAAAAGCAGATGTTTTTTAACGAGAGCTCGAGACATGTCCAAGCATGTTTGTAGCGACAAAAGCGGCATTTTAATTTTTTTTGTAATGACAAAAGCAGGTGTTTTATAATGATATATGGGACTTGTCCTACCATCTTTGTAGCAAACGAAGTTGTGGGGTTTTTTTTGTTTGTTTTTTTTACCATAGTTCAGAACATATCCTGTCATTTTTGTGGGTAAGAGGGTAATTTTTAACGAGAGTTCGGTACATTTCAAGTGACAGATGGGGTTGAGTTTTATTGAGAGTTGGGGAAATATCCAGCTGTTTTTGAAGCGACAAAAGTGGGTGTTTTTTTTATGAGAGCACAGGAATGTCCAAGTGTCTTTGTAGCAACAGAGGCGGGTGTTTTTTAACGAGAGTTCGGGACATGTCCAAGTGTGTTTGTAGTGGCAGAAGCAGATGAGTTTTAATTGTAGGTTGGGAAATTTCCAGCGATTTTAGTAGCAACAAAAGCGTACAAATTCAAATGTAACATGCAGAAACGTACAATGCCAACATTTATTCTGGCAACTGAGCTGTCACATGATATTCCCAGACACACTGGCAATCCTGACGTCAGTTTTAGTTACCATAATGTGACAGACGTCTAGACAAAGCTGAGACCAATGGGCTGTAAGTTAAAACATAGAATCACGTCAGTCTTTAGATGCTTTGCTTAGCTAAAGACTGATGACTTTCTCCCTGATTTTGTGTTTAGATGGGCAGATACAATTTCAGAGTTTAAAAAACTCCCTAAGTTGCAGAACCAATAGTAAATCTGCAGGGCGGTCCTTCGGTGGGTCGCTGAACTCTTGTGCTTGTAAACATAGTCCGACTAGAAACACGTGTAGCGGTTCAAAATGGCTCAGCCGCGCTCGCAGAAAACACCGTCAAAGTTAGTGGATATTTGTGGCGTTTGCGGCGACACATTCTCGCCAACTAAAAGAAACATAATCTTTTACAAGGCCATGACTCATCCGTCCGGCCGATGGGACGGACGGATGAGTCGCCTTGTTGACGCCTTGTTGTTTACAAATACTTCCGGGTAGAAAACCAGCAGAGCTTTTAGCTATATATAGCCTATATATCTCATTTTTCACATCACTGTATCACCGTTTAGATGTTTGTAAAGTCTATAAACACAATGATTGAACAAACATTACTATTTCTGTGTGCACGTTTAGCTGGGCTAACCTTTAGCTGTTAGTCCTGTTAGCCGTTAGCAGTGTCTGTAATAGGTAATAACTCATTAAACGGTCTGTGAAAAAAATATCTTTTCCAGCAGATATCTTAGTTACAACATGATTGAGCTAGCAAAACAGTTTTGTGTTGCTATGTGTGGTATTTATTCAGTTTTGGGAAATCACAATGTCAAGAAAGCATCAGTGGCTGCAGCTGACAGGGACAGCTAACAGCAGCAGCAAAGCTAACATCAGGACGTCATCTGTTAAAAGCCTCCCGTTGTCGGATACGACATGACACTACTCCAGTTAGCTCAATAATGTTGTAACTAAGACATCCGCTGGAAAAAATATTTTCTTTATGGATGAGCACACGTTTGATAAAATGGAGTTAAATCTCTCGGCATCCATTTTCAAGCTCTCTGTGTGTTTGTTTCCTTGCGGACGAGAAAAGGGGGAGCGCACATTTCCGAGAAGGCGTGTCCTTTTCAAAAATGCAAGAGGCGTTGCTTTGTTGCCGGCTGTTTTTGCCGGTGTGTTAAACACACTTTAGAAAGGAGTGTCACACACACACACACACACACACACATGCACTCAATTTAAGTGTAGTTTTCTGCTTCTTAGCAACTTGAAAAAAAACAAAATGACACCCACACAGCATCTTGGTGACTTGCAGGTTGCGTTTGCTCAGCTTCTGCTCGTGAGACCTGGAGAGACTTTCTGGTCCAAAGCTACCCCTGGTGTCCACCACAGTTATCCTCTGCTTGTGCAGATGCAGGCCAATGAGCAGGTAGAGAACGCTGATTATCAACATGGGGAGCAGGAAGAAGGCCAGCGTGGAAATGAGGATGATCAGGTTGTACATCCATTTGGGCTTAATCACATCTGAGGATGGAAATGTAAGAGATAGATGTGTCAGTCAGATCATGATCCCACCTGTACCATGACTGCTACAGCTTTTTATACACTGCAAAACCTCCTAGCCCTCTCTGAGGATGGCAAAATCAATCAACAACTATTAGATGCGGATTTAACTTCAGCGATCTTTGACTTTTCCTTGATGTTTCCTCTGGTGTTATTGGCTGCCTGACAATTTAGTGTTTTTAATAGCATTCCTTGACAACTATTGTATGGATTACCATGGCATTTGGTTCAGATATTGTGAATGTGAACTACCTGTACCTGCAACCTACACTGTACTGTATATGGTAATGTAGTTTGGTCAGACCACACTGGATTAGAGTATTAGAAGGTCAGGTCGCCAGACTATCGCAGGGCTGACAAATTCATTCACACCTATGGGCAATTTAGAATTACTGATTAACCTGCATGTCTTTGGACTGTGGGAGGAAGCCTGAGTACCCAGAGAAAACCCACACCGATGGGACAGACACCCTGGGTTCGAACCAGGAACCCTCATGCTGTGAGGCGACAGTGCTAACCACCACACCACCGTGCCACCCATTTCATTTTAACCATTTGTATTTAATGTAACTCATTTAAATTCTTTCAGCCCATGCAATAAAAGTGAAGGCAACAGTCTCTGTCACTGTGATTTGTCTTGTCCGCTGTCCATGTGTTTTGTGGTAGAAAAGTGTTCGTCAATCGATGTTGTTTGAGCTCCACCACAACGTTGCTTTTAGTGCAAAACAGTTTACACCCCGCCATCTTTCGCAGTTACTTTTATTGTTAAATGTGAGATGTTCATGTCGCGTATGTCCGCATCTTCATAACCACAAGGAAGTGAGTTTGAATTATTGTAGAGGACTGCTATGATTGGTGAAGCTCACAGGAAACTATGATGATTGGTTCAATTAGCAGAACAGTTGTACTGACTGGATAGAAATTGCAAGGTCATGCAGAATTCATGGGGATTGGTTAAATTACAATAATTGTTGTGATCACAATGTCTTGGACAGGGCTGACTTATGTATGAATACATCGGCCTGCACTGTACTTTGTGCTCAGTGTGCAGTTAGCAAATCTCACCATGTTAACATGCTAAACTAAGACAGTAAACATTATAAACATTATACACTCTTAACATCAACATGCTGGCATTTTCATTATGAGCATTTTCGTATGTGTATCTGACTAACAAAGCTGCTAAAAAATCCTAAAAGATCTACTCTAAAAATAGCAAAAATTAAATCTCAATAATGAAATCTATACGTACAGCAGATAGCAGATCGGGGAAACTGTCGTCCAAACCTTGGAGGCAGCACCGCAATCCCATGCAGACTGGTGTTTGGCACAGCACACAGCATGGACAGCACCCACAGCACGACGATGACCCTCTTGACGTGAGCACGTGTGGCCATGTGTTTGACTTTGAGAGGGTGCACCACCGCCACGTAGCGCTCCACGCTGAGCGCTGTGACATTGAGGATGGAGGCGAAGCAGACCGTCTCAAACAGGAAGGTTTTGAAGTAGCAGCCCCCCTCCCCGAGCAGGAAGGGGTAGTTCTGCCACATCTCATACAGCTCTAATGGCATGCCCAGCAGCAGCACCAGCAGATCAGACACTGCCAGGCTCAGCAGGTAGTAGTTAGTGGGCGTCTGCATCACCCTGTGGCGCAAAATGACAGTGCAGGTCAGAGAATTGCCCAGCACACCCACCAAGAAGATGGTGAGGTAGGTGACGCAGACGGGAAGGAAGATGGGGGACCTTGAGGGCCCCAGCTGCTTGGCCAGATACTCCTCCTCGCTCAAGCACATGTCACCCAGATCTTGTGCGGTGGCATTAGCCAACACCCAGGAGATATTCATCCCACACAGCACAGCAGCCTCGGGGCAACCCACGTCACTGAAAACAGTGGCAGCAGATGTGAAAAGAGCAGCGAGGGAGCAGTTTAACACCGGCATGTTGCTGATCGGCAGGAAGGTAACTTGTATTTTAAACCTAATGGAAAAAGAGAGAAGAGAAAAGGTGCATTTTAAAGACTTGCCTCACCAGTTTTACACATGATGTTCAGCCTACTCATCAGAAGGAGAACTACAGAGTGTGAAAACAGCTGCTTATAATGTCTTCTGTGGCTCAGGATGGTATGGAACCTCCACTGGCTTTTTTTCTTTGCATTCCCTCATTTTCATTGTTTAATTCTCAATCTACGCAATTTTTCAGGCAACTGGCAGCTGAAATGTGACTATATCGCAAATCCTCCATACACAGCACACACATGCAACATGTTCGTAGCACAAGGTCAGTTATGAGCAGCATGCCTGGAGCAGTTTGTGGGATTGCTACGTTGCCCAGGGGCGAAGAACTGGCTCCTCTCCAGCTGCCAGTCCACACATGATCTGTAAAATATGCTTCCACCATGAATACTGAAATCAGGTCAGACCTGTCAACCACAAAGGGACTCGAACCCTCAATCTTCTGATCCGAAGTCAGACGCCTTGTCCATTAGGCTACGTGGTCTTGTGTTTGTGTCACAATATTTCTCAGTCCCTTGTGATATATTTTGCGTACTCTCACAATACTTCTCTTCCTCCATTCCTTCTGAGCTATCAGCAATGTCCGTTTCCACTCAGCAGCTCCCAGTGGAACGCCCCAGTATGGATCAGCTCATTGTATGTCACAGCTAGGCTTTTAGTAGGCTGCTATAGTACTAACAATTGGAGGTGGCTAAAAGCTCCTTCATTGACACTGCATGCTCCTGGGCCACCGGAGGCTACAGCAACAGCAGTTAACTTATGTAAAGTGTTATTGAGTACCATGAAAAGCACTCTATAAACAAAATGCATTTTTACTATTATTATTTATAGTGAGATGACTCACTCAGGTGCACACAGTGAGCGTTTGTTGGGGACAAAAATCACAGATCTTATATAAATGCTACGTACTAACTGATACTGGTGGCGTGAAAGACTGCTGCAATTTTTTTAAGCTCCTTATCTTAAGTATTTTTAGATGTTTATACAAAACATAAACACCATAGAGGACACTAGGGGGGGGCACTCCAGTTTAGAATTCATGAGTCCATGTGTTAAATGTCCTTTTATTCGGTCATAAAGGGATGGACATGGTCAGCAACAACACTCAGGTAGGCTGTGGTGTTTAAACCATGCTCAGTTGGTACTAAGGGGCCCAAAGTGTGCCAAGAAAATATCCCCCACACCATTACACCACCATCAGCAGCCTGAACTTTTGATACAAGGCAGGATGGATCCATGCTTTCATGTTGTTTACACCAAATTCTGACCCTGCCATCTGAATGTGGCAGCAGAAATCCAGACTCATCAGACCAGGCAACGTTTTTCCAATCTTCTATTGTCCAGTTTAGGTGAGCCTGTGTGAACTGTAGCCTCAGTTTCCTGTTGTTTGCTGACAGGAGTGGCACCTGGTGTGGTCTTCTGTTGCTGTAGCCCATCTGCTTCAAGGTTGGACGTGTTGTTGGTTCAGAGATGGTCTTCTGCAGATCTTGGTTGTAACCAGTGGTTATTTGAGTTACTGTTGCCTTTCTATCATCTTGAACCAGTCTGGCCATTCTCCTCGGACCTCTGGCATTAACAAGGCATTTTCACTCAGAGAACTGCTGCTCACTGGATATTTTCTATTTTTCGGACCATCCTCTGTAAACCCTAGAGATGGTTGTGTGTGAAAATCCCAGTAGACCAGACCAGCCTGTCTGACACCAACAACCATGCCACATTCAAAGTCACTTAAATCACCTTTCCTCCCCATTCTGATACTCTGTTTGAACTTCAGCAGGTCGTCTTCACCATGTCTACATCCATAAATGCATTGAGTTGCTGCCATGTGATTGGCTGATTTGCTATTGGAGTTAACAAGCAGTAGAACAGGTGTACCTAATAAAGTGGCCAGTAAGTGTATATCATTAAAAATACATTAAAAAACAGCAAGTGACATTGGTTTGCTACATGGGTGACCTGTTCGCAGCTTACTTTATGCAGATGATATGATAATGTTGCATTGGAACGCAAAATATCTTCTATCTATCTTTTGGATGGTGATGTCATCATGTTTTGTTTTGTTTTTTTTGTTTTTTTTTTGTTGAGACTTCAATTTTATAACTGAAAACCTGAGTTACAAACTGGAGTAGAGTTCTGAAGATGTGGGCATTTATCAGGCAAAGGAAGGTCTAATAAAAGGTGACAGCCAATTGCATCATGGGAACTGTCAGATCCAGCTGTTTTGGAGCTTAACCCACACTGGCGACTGAAAGCCAGAATAAATCTCGTCCTCTGTCCAAATCTGTTTTTTGTGAGTCCCTCAACCTTATGAAAATGCAGCACTAAATTACTGAAATACCCCTTTAAGCTATGAAGGTACAAATAATATATTACAGTTATTAGAAATTAAACTCAGAGTGAGCTCTAGTAATGTGACTTTTTTAAAAAACTTTTTTCCTTCAAGCAGTAAATCATCTGGTTTGTTTGAATATGAAAGAGAGGCTTTTCACCACTGGGTCTATTAATTAAAGTAACAATATGAAGGTCAGAACATGTACTGTTAACCTGTGGCCAGCATTTTTGTAGCTACCAAAAAATCACCTGAGGGCATGAATTGATATCCTAATTTCAACCGACCGGTCCAAGCAGCTGTACCTTCGTTCCGGCAGAGAACCTATGCTCATAGGTGGAGGCAACATTCAGACAGAGAACAGTCTAATCAGTTAAATGAATAAATGGCGTGCATTATTACCACAGCAGCAGTAATTAAGATGTTTGGCTTATGTTCTCATAGCCATTTACATGTAATTATGCTGGAAAAAAAATATTGGTCTGTATAATTTTCTTAAATATCATTTGTATCCTCGAGAAAAAATGTAGTCCAAGATTAACAATGTTGTCTCTGAGTTGTCTATTTTGGAATTTATGTTCAACAGAATACAGAGTCCAGAGAAGCTTTTGTTTGGGTTCCCACACTGGATTTGTTTATCCATTCAACATGCAACAGAGTTATTAAGATAACTTTATGTCATGAACAGAAAAACTCACCTGCAGTTTGTGGACTCCTCGGGCACTTTATCCTCGTCTTATTTACAAGATGAATCAGATCTGAAGAAAGGTGAGAAGGTGTGTGATCATCACGTTTCTCTGCATCCTGGACGTAGTTTTGCTGGCACTTTGTCCTGACTGCTTTGGAGCTCCAGTGCGTCACAGCTGCTTCGACTTCCCGTAGCCTATTTGAGCGCTGTTGTTCACCCCACCTCTCTCCCTCTCTCCCTTTCTCCCTCTCTCCCTCTGTGTCTCCCTCTCTCTTTTCATCATAGATCATCTTGTTTACAGCCTCCACCATTTGCTGCCTTCTTTATCTTTCTCTCCTCCAGCATAACTTCTTTAACCTTTTTTTTTTCCTTTGTCTCCCTTGCACACACACACACACACACACACACACACACACACACACAGAGGACATTGCATTGACATACATTAATTTCCTGGAGACCAACCCCCAGGCTGGACATATACTTTTTAACCACATGCCATACTTAGCTCTGTACTGCGTGTTACTGGAGGACCCCACTAGAGGGCACACCTCAGAACTCACAGTATATAAAGCTTCCACATGCACATGATGTAAACTACAAACATGGCGACACTCGAGGAGACTATTTTTTATAGTTAATTCTGAGACCATGGCAGAAAAAGCTACAGTTGCGCCATCGTAAATGGCCGTATACTTATCATTGCATAGCGGCAATGACACATTGTACAGTTGTGGACATTTCAGATGTGGGCTCTAAGTTTGTCCTCAAAACTTCCCACCATTGCTGTTGCTGCTGACGTCCCTATTGACCCCGTCACATCATCACATTGCCCCTACAATTCTTGTGTGTTTTACATCTTGCGTAATTTTTTCTTTTTTTCTTTTCTTTATTGAGCTTTTTAAACACAAAAGATTCGTGGACACAACATGACGAAAGCATAAAATGTTGCCCAAGTATTATACATAATACATTATTATAGACTAAGTAAAAAGAAACCAAAAATATAAAAAAACAAATAATCACAACACGAGACAACAACACAAGATAGAAAGACACAACAAAATAGGGCTGCGTAGCCGTACAGTCTCGTTGGAGTCGTACTCAAGTCCACCACAACATCCAAAATCACATGGGGGCCTGAAAAAAAGGCCACACCCATACGGAAACGCCAGTCCCTCCTTAAAAGAAAACAACAACACTAGCATGTTGTGAAAATGACTGCCTACATATCGCGTACAATGCACAAATGCATCACGAATAATACACATGTGCATCTCGTACAACGTGTGCAACAAGAAAAAATAAAAAAAAATGTATATATATATATGTTTATCTGGCGCCATTGTAACAACATGAGCTCAAAGACATGAAAGTGACATCTAACCATCATGTCCTTATTACATAACAAATCATAACACTGACAATCAAAATACTCACAACCAAATACATTTACAGTTGTGTAATCCTAAGATTCAAGTCTTGTATGCTGTAAAGCCCTGTGAGGCAAATTGTGATTTGTGATATTGGGCTTTATAAATAAAATTGATTGATTGATTGATTGATTGAACAGAGCACCAGATCACAGTTTCAGAATTATACCAAGCAAAACCCATTTCTAAGTGTTAAGAGGTGTAGTTAACTGATCCACGTAAGAAATAAAAGGCTGCCATATTACACTAAATTTACCAGTAGCTCCTTGTAATACATATCTAACCTTTTCGACTTTGAGAAAATACGTGACATCACAGATCCACCTGCCAAAGGAAAGAGGGCAGTCGCTCTTCCAGTTTAAAAGAATAAGACGTCGTGCCAAAAGAGCAGAATAAGCTATACAATTCAGCTGAGTGTTTGTTAAAATGAGATTCCCTGATGGCACACCAAAAAGAGCAAGGAACGGACATGGTTTAA